AGACCAGTATATCACTTTGAAATCTTGCTTCATATTTAAAAATTTCTCAAGAAATGCATAGATTGGAAAAGGTTTGTAGGAATGTTTTATTGCACTGTTACATGAACTGAAAAAAACTTAGAAGTCAGTGTCACAACAGTAATTTTAGCCCTGATGGAAAAATATTTCAATCTTAGACCTCATGATAGAACACAAAATACATAAAGGGTCTTATCATTTTATCTGTGCTTCACTGACATTGACTGAGAGACAGGCTGTGTAACGAGCATTTAAACGCTAAGTACAGCAAAAGCATTCAGTAGTTGCCAGTAGCTAGAGTGGTTTGGTGACTTCAATCTCAAATTCAAGATTCAGATTCCTGTATTTACTTCCCCTGATTCCTGTGTTGCTGCTCATGGAAACAGATAGCTTGGTCAATTCACTGGTTATCTCCTCCAGCATTCATTCTTACCAAATGCAACTTTTCTGCTACTGAAAATTTTAGAAATCTGGGAGTGGAGGTTCACATGGGAATATGCCCCAGCTATACATCAAATGCTGGGACCCAGCTGAGGGGGATCGTCAGGGGGGTTTCCCCAAGTGGTTTGAATTAGCTCTTGGGCTTCACCCAGGTTTTCTGAGCCGGAACTTCTGGAACATGGTTATTGCAAAAGGATATTAAAGCATTAATCATCCTATTATAAAAAACTTAAGACACCAAAGGTTCCTGTTCTTTTTTCCAACTCTTACTATTTAATTTTCTTTAAGATCTAAGACAAACTCAAAAGAAAAGCTGGAATGCAAGTCACCGTGAAATGACGTACATTTCACTGCAGTGTGTGGGAAGAGCTGGCTGATTGTGAAACAGCCAAGCAGTGTTGCTAAGCAGCTGCTTTAAAACAGTAATGTCTTCTTCCATCACACATGAAGATTCGGAATTTCTAAATTCTCAGTACAAAAAAACCCACATTCATAAGAAAAGAAAAAAAAAATAGAAAAGAAAAACCGAATATAATCTTTCATTCACTTATGTTCCCGTAATTACTAAGGAAGATTAGTCAAAAATCATTGGAGTGAGAACATGTTCAATGCACTTTCAGTTCAAAATATGTAATGGTTTAGTTTAGGTAAGATAACTGGCTTTACTATAAATCAATTTGTATCTTCCATGGAAGTTTGTCAGTAACATTTCACGCCTTCAGTGTGTGAGTCAGAAAACGCAACTAAGTTACAGTAATAAATAATCTTTGCAACAGCACTAACCCTAAAGATAACCACCTTATGCAGGACTTTACTCTAAGGATGCATGTACACTTTAATTCAGAGAGAGCCGCAAAGAAGGAAAAAGCCTGACTCCAGCTAATGCTGGAATGACGCCCAGCTCTCCTCAGCTGGAGGTAAAAGTATAAGCTCAACATCTTGACAGAAACAGGAATGGGATACAGGAGGAGAAGGCAGGGAACTGGCATCCCACAGAAAAACAGTTTGTCTGTGGGGATACCATTTTTGTTTCCATTTATCCTATCCTAGTTTTCATTCAGAATATTATCTCCCTGTCCCTACCACTTTTTTTTTTTCTTTTGTTCATCAGAGGTTTGTTTCCTTCCTACATTTGTATCGCCAAAGACCAGGTATTTATTTCTGTGTGGCACAGAGATCTGGTAACTTTTTACATCTCCTATAAAACAATGCTCTTTATGCATACAGAGAACACCACATTCCCCAGCTGTATTCAGGGTGCAGCAGCAGAAACCTCTACCAGCTCCTCCCTATCCTCTGTCCAAGCACTATTAACTATCACAGGGCTATCTAGGTATTAAAATGGGCAGTATAATTGTTCAAATGCAACAATTCTGAGGGGGAAAAGAAAAAAAGCCACACTAAAAATTACTGCCAGTATGCAGCCACAGAAGCAGCTCAGAGAAACAATACTAAGAGAAGCATCATCAAGAGTGCTATGCTGGGGACATCACACAAAATATTTGCGTCTCTGAGGAAAATGCAAAAAAGCTAAAGGAATGTGACATGCAGGAAAAATGCCTCTGCTCACTTACTGTCCAGTGCTGCAAGAAAATAAAACCAGTACTCTAATCCTATACTCATCAGGGTGAAAGCTAGAAATAAAGCAGGACATAGCCATTCAGATAAAGGAGATTCAAAAAACACAACAGATTAATGACCCAAAGAGGTAGTGAAACACATCTTGATGGTTTAACGATTAAAAGTTTTTACACACAAGGCATAAAGCTTTCCAATTTCCACTCTTTTACCACATATCTACATGTAAACATATATGTATGTTAGAGAGGAAGACTGCAGCACCTCGAGAGAGCACAAGAACTGGGTAAACATTGATATTTTTCCACTGGCAACTTCTATAAGCATTAGCATGAGGCCACATTCTACAGGCTCTAAATGTCTCCACAAATGCAGCCATCAGGGAAATAAGATTAGCCCAAGTCACACGATCTAAATGACACACCTTGGAACCTATACGATTACCTATAGTTCTGTGCTGCATCAGCACTTCACAAAATATAATCACAAAATAAGCAAATGCCAAGGATGCAGATGACTAAACTTGATTTCTCAGAATATTAATTAATAGCATCCAGCCAGGATATTAATAATGAACATTTTTTGGAAAGAGAAAATTAGCATAAAATATTGTCAGAGCACAAGCCTGTAAGCAAAGAATCCTAAATCAAGAAAGATTCTGAAGATGGCCTGACAAAGAGACTACAGAGATGAAATTATATTCATTACTTCAGCTGCTTGATCTGATTGCCCTGTCCACTCTGTTCTCCGATCTGCAGCATATGAGCTGAAAAGCCATTGAATGGCAACTGTAAAGCTAATTATGTTTAAAGATGATGCAAACAGTATAAAAATAGAAGGACAGAGATTGTTCAGATGTACCACACACAAATTAGTTCAAAATTTGGAACCTAATCTACTCTTTAGGTTGTACCTTAATTATGAAGAGCAAATATGAGGCAAGAATGTATGTATCCTTACACTGAAAGACCTAGGCAAAAAGCTAGATCATTAAAATTCAGAAAAAATATTTGAGAGATCATAATCTAATAAAGGCTAGTAACCACAGCATATGATCTTTCACAGAAGTCATCTATATTAAGTTTTGGAAGCTGTAACATAAATATTAAAATGTATTCACTGATAAAGGATTTTGGAGTCTACATAAATATGCTAAAACATTGGCTAAAAATTCCTATGGCAGAAGTAAAACACGATCACAGAATTGAAACAGAGAAAATAGTAAGTATTAGTTTCCTAACTGAAACAGTTCAGCATTTTCAAGTTTCACTAGCAAGCTCCCATGTGCTTTACTATATTTGTAAAGGCGTCAGGAAGCTGAGAAAGCCATATATGCACACCACATGAACTAATACAGTGCACAGGAGCTGCGATGATTTATGTTAAGTGAATAATCAATACAAATGATTGCATGTGAAATTCAATGAGACTTTCTATATTAGAGCATAAGGGATAGAAGAAAACCACTTCTAGCAAGATTATTTACAGTAACTCAAGTACTGTTTAGGAAGTGTCCAGACAAGACCTCAAAAATGGAAGGCAGCAGTATTGCTTATAGCAGATTGCTCTAGCATTGCGTCTATACACACATGCAGACACGTGCATGTATAGGTGTGTACATACACACACAGAAAACAAGAATGCTAAATTGCAATTAACACTAACTACTTCCATCAAAATTCAGCCTTTAAGGTCTAGGGAAGCCTGTTCTCTGCTCTAGTCATGAAGGCTGACTCCCAGGTGCCCTGCAACCTTATGTCTCTCCTAAGAAAGAACCCATTTGGGTGGGAGGGCTGCATGCCTGTCACGGACAGTAAGGGCTGTTCCCAGCTGGTTCTCTTCCATAAATCCAGCAGAGGGCCTGCTCCACTTGAGAAGGATCTGTCCTGTCTCTCCTTCTGAGTGACTGTGGGAGCCACAAACCACAGGGCAACAGTGAGTGAGTTTGCAGCTCTGAGTACCTAGGCAGATGGACAACTTCTTGGTGTCAGAGCTGGTTTAGGAAGTTGTTTTTAGCCTGAAGTGGACATGCTGGAGCAAAGATCCAAACAAGAAGCATAACCCAAGCAAAGCAGAGCATGACTTGGGAAGTACTGTATGATAAGATGAATTTCTCCTAACATACGATCATCAGGGTAGGTTTACCATCCCAGGAGACAATCATTAATAAACAGGACACACAAATACTGGATGCTTGAGACCAGGTCACAAGATTGGTGGGGTCTTTCAGATTCCCATCTGCAATGGAAAAATGCACATGCCCCCTGAGACTAAGCAGCGTTTAGACTTTATTCAGCATGGCACTATGTGCACTGCCTATGTTGAGGTTTTCCGTGTCATCCTTTGGGTTCAGTTGCAAATTTACAGCTTCTGCACTGAGCCGTATTTCCTTTCTTCATCTGCCACAAAATGCTTGACTCCAGCACGCTGATGAAATTACATCCAGGCATAAACAAGGGAGTAAATAGAAAGCTATGTTAACTTAAGTTGACAAGTACGGGAAGCAGCGTTTGTAAATTAGCTCAAATCGCTATTTCCAAACTTCTGAAAGGCTGCTGTGAACACGTGCGAAGCTGGACAAAACAAGCCGAATACCCAAAGCCGTCTCGGCGCGGCGGGAGCAGCCTGGCTCCGCACGACCCGCGCCGCCGCGGGGTTCGAGTGCCAGCCCGCAGCCCGTCCTGCTCCCCGCCGGCCCCGGCACGGCACCCGCGGCCGGACCCGGGCAGCTGCGGCGCGGCCGCCCCGACCGGAGCCGGGCAGGGCGGGCGGCACCGGCCGCGCTCAGAGCCGCAGCCCGGCTGAGCGGCCGGGCCATGCCGGTACCCTGAGAGCCGCGTGCCCCCGGAACGGGGCGGCGAGCCGGCCCGGGCACGCTGCCCCTCGCCCATGGTCCGCTCCCCCCTCCCCGGCCCTGGCTGCCGCGCGGCGCCCTGGGCCCGATCCGAGCCGGGGGCGCTTACGGGAGTTGCGCATCCAGTGCAGCAGGCGCGGCAGGTCGGCGGCGCGCGTGCCCCGCACGGCCGCCAGCACCGCGCGCCGCGCCGCCGCCAGCTCCATCGCGCCGCCGCCGCGGGGGGGCGCCACGCGCGCCGCCCCACGCACGTGCGCGCCGCGGGAGAAGCCCCGCCCCCCGCGCGGCCACACGTGCGCATGCGGGAGAGCGACACCGACCGGAAAGGGGCCCTTTGCGCACGCGCGGCCCCGCCCACCGACACACTCTCTCGGCGCGTGCTCGCGCTGCCGCTTGGCGCCGCGCCCGGCCCCGGCCCCGGCCCCGCCCCCGCGGGGAAGGAGCTCCGCCCTCCCTGCCCCGCCTTAAGGCGGAGCGGAGCAATTCCGTCCCGTGCTGGACGGGGTGTTTACATGCTGCCGCCGTAACGACGCAGCGGGCCCGCGCACGTCCCGGAAGCGGAAGCCAGTGGGGGCCGTGGGGCGGCGGCTGTGCTGACGTTTCCCTGGCCGGCGGCGGCCGCGGCTCCTCGCGTCTCCAGCGGAGTCTCGCCGGGCCGGGCCGGGCTGGGCTGGGCACGGCCCCGCGCCGCGCTCCCGGTGAGTGCTCGCGCTGCCGCCGCAGCCGCTCCGTAAGTGAGACCGCGACCCCTGACGGCTTTAGTGACGTGGAGGGGTCCTGGCCCGGTCCCGGCGGGGAAGGAGGAGGCGCCGGTGCTGCCGACCCCGGGGATAGGCGGCGGTCTGTTCTGGGCAGACCGGGCCGCGCAGGGCGCTCAGTCCGCGGGACCGTTCTGGGCCTCCCGGACCCGGCCGCTGCCGCCCGCAGCACCGGACGGGACTGGCCCAGCCGCTGTCGCCCGCTGGCCGCGGCAAAGGCAGCGGCCGGGTACATAGACTGGGCTCTGCCCTCATCGTTTTTCACGTGAAAATGAGGGCATTGGGCCGTAAGTGAGGCGGCCGTTCCCTGCTGTTGCCTTAGGGGCGCCTTCCCGACGTCAGCCGGGTAATTTTAGAAGGTGGAAACTCATAAGTTGAGGTTGACCGTAGCTGCAGTAGCTCAAGGCATTCCCAGCTGTGAAACAGCCACTTCTCTGTTATAGTGTTAGACTTGCAGTTGGTCTTAATCCATGTATGTGTACATGTAGTACAAGTTTATTTTACAGTTTCTAAGTGTTTGTTTTGCTTGTTATCTTTTTAAGCAGTTGCTATCTTTTAAAGCAGCTGTTTAAACTGCTGTTACCTGTTAAGCTTATATTTTTTTCAAAACACTCTACGTTGGTGGATTGCTAGTTTAGCTAGATGGATTTGGTTGGAGATTTATGCTGGGAGGGTGAGCAGTCTGTCTCAGAATTGCTGCTTTGCTATGCCATAGTAAGGCATTCGCTATTTCTGCTGCTGCTGTGTCCCTGGAATGCCGGTTTGTGGCTGAAGCGCAGAGCTCCTGGCGCTGCAGCAGCACCATGGCCTGGGAGCTCGGTGTGGGGGTGCCCAGGCTGCTGCTGATGCGGGGGACTCGGACTGCGCAGAGCCTGCTCCAGGCAGCCCACGGTGTCCTGGGGCCCAGCTGGGTTTAGCCCTGCTCAGCGCGTTTGGGGCTGCTGCATTCAAGGTAAACTCTGCAGAACTACTGGTGCCAGCACACACACCTTCTGCAGTGCAGTTACTGCTAATGCCCTTCTGGCTATCTGCCAGCCCAAGCTGGCTACCTGCTAAAGCATCTTATGTGTTTGTCAACTTGGATGGCCTGTGTCACAAATTCTGTTAATTTCTGTATTTGACAGCCCTTAGAAATTCTGATGACTTATGATTTCTTAATGTGCTAGTAAGAGCAGAACATATGAAAATGCTTAAACTCCTCTCCTTAGCAAAGGATTTGAATTATTCCTATTGTAGGGCTGTCAGAAGCTTTTGGAATTCTGCAGAGGGAACATTCATTTATTAGGACATAATTAGCCTTCTGTATTCTACAGAGATCTGTAGAACTCTGGAAACTAATTTTAAATGAGTATTCATATGACTTCTGTATGTTGGTCATCCTATCAAATTTCTTAGCTGCTATATCTAAGTGTTATAGTTAAGTTTTGTCATTGGTTGCTATTTTAGCAGCTCAAAGTTCACTGAAGTGCAGCACTATTTTGAAAAGTTTGGGGCTTTGTTTTTTCTTATAAATTGTGATTATCATAGAAAATGACCTGGAAAATGTTTTGAACACCTGTTTTGCTGAGACTGGTAGAGCCTATTAATGATAATGCTTATTTAGAATTATTCTGCAGTAATATGACTTGTATGCCTTGTGAGGAAACCTTGGAGTTTTACCATTTCAGATAACATGTAGAAATCCCCTTACAGTAACATAAGAAAATGGACATAAATGTCTATTAGTGTACTAGTTTGCAAATAGTCTGCTGGCAGAGTTCCTTAGGAAACATAGACTAATTTTTAAGATTAATGTTGAGATGGCATTGTAATGGATATCCTTACTTGTACATTCCACGTATCTTAAGTCTGAAATATGTAAATATGTTTGTGTCATTTGCCATATCCAACTCCTGTACCTACACGGGATTTATTTATCCTACATCTTCTGAAGCTCCTGGAGACTTTGTTCTGCATTATGACCTTAGTATCAGGGGAGGGTGGGTTAGACTGGAAGTTGTTTTTGGGGTTTTGTTGCTGGTTTAACCTACCAATTAGACAAAGCAATCTGGAGGTTGTCTTGCATGGGTGTCTTGTTATAGCTCTTTTGGAATATATATTTTATTGTTTATAAACATAAAAACATTTTAAACAATTTTAAACTGTGCTTTTTGGGGTTTGTGCAGCTGATAAATCTCCATGTGTGCATAGAGTGAGTGGGTTTGTTAGGCACATTGATGCCCTCTCTCTTAAATAAAATCAGAATGTAGCTAGTGGTGCATTTTTCATTTCAATAAATGGACTGGCCTTTCTTCCTTGTTTTCTTCTCATTTGAGGCAGGGGGAAGTCGCAAAAATCTTTGAAACTCTCATCTATTTTGATTACAGAGACTCCCATTATTGAGAATTTGGCTTTCAGTTCTGAAAGGAGGAGCTCAAATGTGAGATTCCAGTTTGGGCTATCAGCAAGGAAGTTGTTTCAGCTGAGTACAGGAAAGCAACACTGAAAGTGGAAGATAAACAGTAAGTATTTGAAGTGCTCCGTTTCAGCAGTAGCTGTGGTGTTGCAAATTTTTTGCTCCTCAGACAAGTTTTATTTTGCCCTTAATCAGAAATTTAGGTTGCTGATTCTACCATGTGTTCTCCTGAATATCTTGCCACCCCCTAATATAGGGGGTGGAGTGGTTTTGCATGTTGACTAGAATGTGAACCCTTGAGAAATTAACTTTTTATGGTTTCCTAAGTGTAAGTTATGGTATGCTTTAGTCTTATATGTGAGATTTGTGTTTCTAGTGAGCAAAAATGGTCTGTTTTTCCAGTACAGCCATTAAAAGCTATAATATGAATTTTGCTTATTAAAATGCAAGTATGTTTGTAGGGTTACTGAAATGGGAAATTCAGCCTGATTAATGAAATCTGGATAAAACGCAATGGATAAATAATGTTGAATTTTGCTACCAAAATATTTTGCTTCTGGTCATACAGACTTTGCAGAGTTTCTAGACTGTTCTGATAGATTTTATTCTGTCATGTAGCATATTGCTGATAAGAGGATAAAAAGCAGTTGGCATTCTTTCTGGAGGTCTATCTGGACTGTTTTGTTTGGGTTTTTTTCCATGGTGAATTCAATGCCCATTTATGCTATACAGTGAAATCATTCCTAATTGAAGTGTGGTATCTCTCTTTTTAAGTAGGCTGTCAGGATTGCCTAAAATTAACTTCAGGCCAATGTTTCCTAAAATAACTTTAAAAAGTAAAACTTGTGCACTTTCTGGAATGCAAAGCAGGATTTTTGCCTAAAGTTTACTTGAAAAATTAATTTGTGAATGCATAGCTTCAACTAGTTTAAAATTTTATTTTTTAATTTTTCTCCAGATCCTTCTGAGTCATCCTTGAAGCCGCAAAAATGGTTCTGGCAGATCTTGGAAGAAAAATAACTTCAGCCTTGCGTTCACTGAGCAATGCCACAATTATCAATGAAGAGGTGTGTAGTGTACTAATGTGATGGCACTAGCACTGGAAAAGTTCTGAGAAAAAGTTCTCAAAGACTGATGAGAACCTTGAAGTGGGCTACCTAGACTGCTTTTTTCATTCAAGTAAAATTTCTAGTTAAGGTTTTAACCCCCTAACAGTATTGCCAGAACTTAAAACTATATTTATACATGGGTTGTCACCTCAGACATAGTGGGTGCCATGGTCAAAGGGTCCTTGAGCCTGGTGGCTGCACTTAGGGAGATGAGTGTTCTGTGGAGGCAGTGTGTGCCTAAGTTTGAGTGGAAGGTAGGTGCCTGCTCTGATTTATGTGTGTGCACAGGCAGACTGTGGGGATGTGTACTGGGCTGCTAGAAGCTGAAATGTGGAAGAACAAATGTAAGCCTTGCTGTCTGAAATGTGAGGAATGTGTTGTATTTGCTGCCTTTATATTCAAACCAGTGTGTGGTTCTGGAATTTTGTTTGGCTTAATGTGGCCTGTATTTTCTCTAAATAAGAGTTTGAAATTAGAAATGTGTTCTGTCATAGGAGTTCAATGCAAGATGAAAAACTAACTAATGTGATGGTTTCAAAGTGTCTCTGAGTGCATAGACTGCTAGAAATTCTTTGCAGGTGGAAAGATGGGTGGCTTAAAGTAACTAAAAAATAGGCTTATTGAGAGCTGTATTGTTAGAACTTATGCATAGAGAAAATGTTCTAATGTATCTTCTGCTGGGAGACAAAAAAATCCTTAATTGAATCATACAGCCCAATTAATTCTTTTCAGCAATGGAAACTTTTATCCTGCAAGAGCTGGAGATGTGAAAATGAGGCCATTTATGCAGGTGTTACTTTCAGAAAAATCTTTCTGTTCAAGACTTTGAAAACTCAGAATAAACTGAGTTTTCTAGCTGCGGCACCTGCTTGCCTAAAAGGCATACAATCAGAGCAGCAGTCCAGTTTTTGGAAATGCATGTAGCAGGGTGTCCATCTTTAGCCAGGGAATGCTGTTACAGAAATGGTGTTGTGATCTGAGA